AAGCAGCGCTCCTGCCAGGAGGGTCGGACCCGCTCCTCGGGAGCACAGCTCCCCAGAGAGGGGGAAAGCTATGCCAGCCTGGCAGTGGGGTTTTCACGTTCTTTAACTAGATCCTGGTATTAATAGGAATTCCTCCGGATTTGGCACTGTTCTTGACTGCGAAAAAAAACGTGCAGAGAAACTCACAGGCAGGTGTTCAAGTTCTATCATTATTTACCTAGCTACATGCTTTCCAGGGCCTGCTTCTGTAACCTGTCCCCATTTGAATGGTCTCGCTGCCTTCAGGAGGAATTAGAGAAATAAGACGGCCAGCATAGCAGGTTAAAATTGCAGCCTGGAAGACTTAGCTATCAGGAAATGCTCCGTACCTGTAAGGATGTTAAGCAAGAGTGTTTATTCCCTGGGGAGCATGAGCCTGGAGATTTTTAAGAACAGGTTAGAAAACCATCTGCTAAGTCTGATCGGCCGGTACAGGCAGCATATCCTGCCCTGGGACAGGGAGATGAATTTCATAAATTTTGGAGAAGCCATTTAGACCTATTTTTAGCCTGTTTTCCAGGTGAAGTGAGGCAACGGCTCTCCATCCCAGTCTGCTAACCTCTAGTGAGTTCTGACCCATTGGGTGAACTTCAACCAACTTTGACACAAGAGTAGAGATACCGAAAATATTAAGTTCCTACATAGTTTAAGCCAATATGGATGAATAAAGAACAGGGAAACGAATGTCTTCATCAATTTTTAATGCGACCCCATATCCAGCTCCTGCGGCTGTGACTAACGCAGGGCGCACGCAAGTCTGCAGGAAACCAAACTTCACTGCTTCACGCTTTGATGCAGGAAAACAATATGGATGAAATCAGAATTGAGCTTTGAGACTTTGCTCTGACTTGCCCAGGCAGCACGTTCAGAAACAGTGTGTGTAGATGATCCTGTAACACCCAGAAGGAAAAGATATGTTTATGTAAATCCATTCTTACGCATGATTTGCCAGCATGCAGGAAACGAGTCATCAATACCCAAGAGAGGCTGATTATGCCAATGAAATACTAGTATCTGACAATGTACCAACCACATCAGGTTATCAGGATATTTCCCTGTACTGATGAGGTGAAGTCAGGCAGACAGCTTGGAAGATACAATAGGGTAATTCTTGCCAAGTGGCACCAACAGCAACTAAAAATCCTGTAATTGCTCACTAACAAAGTTTACTATCATACCGAGACAGTTAGTAAAACTTTTATTTATGAAAGCACTTTATTTCCCCATCTTTCACAATATCCTCCAGGGAAAAGCCACCCAGCATCCAGAAGGAATGAAACTTTTCAAGTATTTTAGTGTTTGTCTTTGTTGCCTGTGTAAGACTTAATGGTACTATAAGAAATCCACGTTTGGAAAGGAGCAGGTGTTTTCTTGGTTTGAAAGCACATCATCCTAATGGAAATATGACAAAATCTAAATGCTCTACAGTACTTTTCTATAGCGCCTGCAAAATTTTAGCAGAATCATCAGAGGAGAGGCAGCGATTATCCTACATCTGTATTCTGCTTTGCAGCTGCGCCAATAACTCCACCTCATACCAAAGCTGAGCAATACCCCTTGGAGCAAAAGAGAGCATGGAGCTGTCCATAACCTTGCCAAACTAAGAGTCACTGGGTTGGAATATCCTTTATCTTGGGAAAACAAATAAAGAAAAAATGTCCCATCCATTTCTAAGGAACAGGTTAACACTTTAGAGACAGCACATGAAATTCTGAGCTGTGAAATCTGGGGATCTCCAAGCTGGACTTTGGTCTACCTTGCACTAAGAGGGCTGTGTGATTTTGAACAGGTTAATGACGCTTGTATACAATATATGTAAAAACAAGGTGGTGAAATCAAAGCCAGAGATCATATTTCCCTATGAACGTGCCAGGAAGCTCACAGGACAGATTCACTAACAGCTACATAACCCTGGGAAGAGGTCCCAGAGGGACTTGGCAGGAATAAATTGTCAAGTAGACACAAACAGCTGCCTCTTCACCTCCCTTCTTCCTATCAACTCCAGCGCAGACATTGCCACCTGTGCTTGCCCACACGTTTATTTGACAGAATAAACGAGGTGCAATTTTTATCCTTTAAGTTGGTCTTCTACCAAACATGGCGTTCAAGTAAAAGCAGACGTACCAGAGGGTGACCATACACAGGGAGGCTTGGTCTACCTCCAAAAGCCTTCTCCCACAGAGGTGCTGTGAGATGCTCAGAAGCTGTCATGTGGATTTTTGACAACATTACAAGGCATGCTCTAAAGGCTGGTAATGAAAATACTGCTCATGCAACAAAAAATCTCCCTTGGGAAAGATCAGTTAGTGCCCACTTAGCAAGCAATGAACCAGCGAGAAGGCCACATGGATTTGAGACTTGTTGTGCCCATGATACTGATCTATGAGTGGCCCTCATTTTACCCTCCTCTTTTTTTTTTTTTCTTTCTAATTTAAATGCTGCTTCCTGAAAGCTGCTTGATCAGAACCCATTCTTCTTCATATCAAACCCCAGTTTTAAAAGTAGACAACTACTGTCCTGTTTAGGAGAAATGTACAAATCTGAGAAGCTAACAAACCCACAAGTTATCTAATAATAAATACGGCAGAGATGTAAACAAATAGATACCTCATGGCGTGCAATGCTTTGCAGCTATTGTATCAACAAGTTGGTGTTACCTTGGAAACAAGAGATTATCTGTGCATGCCTTCTTCCAGACAGAAACCAAGAAAGGAGGCATGCAGAATTGATTGTGAGTCTTCCGCACTTTGTGGAGTTGCCGCCCAGCTATTGATGCCAATCGATCCCAATCCCAACTATTGATGAAAATTCAGAGGCAGTGCAGAGGTTGCACCATCCTTAATGCAACAACCACAGCGATGCAGGTAAGTACCTGGCTATCCCGTCCTCTCCACCTTGGGATAACACAACCCTTTTTCAAGAAAGCGCAGAAAGGTTATTCCCTGGAAATACCCTGTGCAGAGCAGAGAGCAACATGGCCTTGCCTGATTCGCAGCAGCAAGGAGGGCCAACAGCGATGGCTTGGCACAACATCAAATTACTTTAATAAAATTAAGCTTAAGCTAACACGTTGGCCATCAAGGCCAGGCTGGATGAGGCTTTGAGCAACCTGGGCTAGTGGGAAGTGTCCCTGCCCATGGCAGGGGGTAGGAACTGGATGATCTTCAAGGTCCCTTCCAACCCAAACCATTCCATGATTCTATGATTCTACGACTGATTCTATGATTCTATGTTGTACCCCATAGCTGAGGCAGATTAAGAACACACATACACACGAGGTTCGTCACACGGGCTCTCGGTGTGAGTGGGAGTTTGTTACGCTGCTGTCAATTAACTGCACTCAAGTGTGTGGCCATATTTGATCAAATGTAGTTTTTTGAGGATTTTTCCTGCTTTTTCTTCATGGAATAATAAAAAGCATTGATCCTGCTGCCTGGCAGATTCAGTTCAATGCATTTGTATGCACGATGTCTCAGTCCACCTTGTAACATAAGGTGCAGCTCTTCATCAGGGCTGGAGAGTGCTCAGAGCTGCTGCCTCAAACACTGCGGATGGGTTCCCAGCTGCTGACTTCACCTGGGTATCTCTCATCCTGGTGGGCATCAGTGAAGCTGTGTCTGTCTGGAACAGCTAAATGCTTGGCCCTTGGAAATTAGTTGTCTGGGTTTACAAATACAGCTATAACAGGAAGTGTTGAACTGTGAGCATGTAGAAATTTATACTGGTATATATTCAGTGGCACCTATGATTACAGATCTATATTTCAGATAACCCAATCATCTGCATGTAAGAAATTTAGAAAAGTGACGGTTACGCTACATTAAACAAGATAATAATAAGTAGGAGTAATATTGATCTATTTTTTTCTAAAGAGATTAAACAAAAATAAGGATTTGTAAATCAACTGATCATGAAATTGGTGCTTCCCACAACCCAGCTGGTTTGTTGGAATTTGTACAACACTGATGTTCCTGTGCAAGTCCTTCTGCAGCACTTTGGGATGAAATGTAGGGCTACAAAAACACATTAAAAATATACAGGGCACTATTCTTCCCACACTGCCAGCAGAACAACTTCTAATGACATCTCCATGCCTGAATATTATCAACAGATGGGGGACTGGCATAGTGTCCCAGGGCTTCCCGTGGGGTATTTAAACCCAGAGCTGCCTCTATCAGATGCTCCAGGCTTCCCTACGGCACATCTGTCTCTTCCCAGCTGTGCTTTATCCCTCTGTCCTGTCTGCTCTGCTCTTGTTTGAGGTGACCTCATCATTCAACAAGAGAGAGACTAGAGCTGGTGAGAGGAATTTTTAACTTCAAATAATGTTTTTTAATTGATTTCAGAAACAAGTGGGAAAAAAAAATGCAGTATGAGCATCTGCCTGTGACTTCCCTCCTCCCTGGATGTAATGGGAGGACCAGGTCAGCCACAGTGTGTCATGTACCTGATGCAATCCTGACCTTCTCAGGCTCAGAGGAGGAAACTGGGGAAGAAGGGCTGTGGTAAGAGAAACGTGTCAAGGAACAGCAGTATGAGCTGCTGCTGCAGCTGAGACAAGGATGAAATTTTCTTGCAAATCCAGCACCTGTGCATCCATGCACACGGTGGCATCTTGGGTCACCTCTCGCTCAGTACAGGTCAGATATCTGTTGAGTCACAGGGAACTAAACTGTGGCAGCTCCATACGTATGGAGCCAGTTCTGATCCCCTTAACACCTCTTCTTCACTCTGGTTTGATTTGGGTGAGAGTATTCCCAAAACACCTTAGCTCCCAATTTCACAACAACCCATCCCATCACACCTGGAGATCCATTTTTAGCCACCTGCCAGGGATTTTGCAGACTGCAGCACACAAGACAAATACCTCTCAGTATCCCATATTTTGGGTTAAAGAACAAAACCAGAGGAAGAAGAGTTGGCAATTTTGATACAAAAACTTAATTAGGTTCAGTACTTACAATTGCATGACCAGATACAAATGGTTCGGACTCTCATATATGTCTTCCAGGGCAACTATATTTTCATGCTTGATCCTGAAAAATAACAAGATACCATAAGACAAAACAGTAATTTTTAATTTTTTAAGTGGCTGCAAAACATAAAGCAATTTTCAGTTAGACACTACTTGTCTGTGCTTTATTCAACATCACCAAATACGATTTTGACCAATGTGAACAGTCAGGAGAGCTTTGCAGCCCAGAATACTATTATTATTCACAGAAAATTCCTTCAATCCTCTCTGAAGCCATACTGTTTAAGGGTTAAGTATCAGGGGCATTAGAGGTTTACAGTTCCTGTGTCAGATGAATGAACATGGTTGGTTGGAGGTTGAGGTCTCAGGACAGCAGCAAAGCGGGATGCGAGGAGGTGATGGAGGCAGGGTGCAGGCTGGCAGGGAGAAGGCAGGGATTTTCCCCCATGCACAAGCTGGCACAGGCAGGCAGCTGCCTTACAACAGCCCCACGCTCCTTCCCACTAAATTCACCCTCCTGCAATGTCACACCAGCTCTGGATGCCCGAATTTCCCTGCAGTGTTATTAAGCACCACGCAGTTTCTGTGCAACAGCTCCAGGCATCTTCACGAGTTTTCTACACCCTCACCATTCCCACTGATCATTCCCACTGAGCCTCTTGTCAAAATGCTAGCTTTGAAAGAAAAATCATCTCTACAAGCAAACATCTAATTAACTAGTCAGAGCAATGCCTCTCTGGGTTTGCTCCTTAAATGCTTACAAATCATTTCAAAGAATACATTTAACTTGTGCAAACCCTAAAGAGACTACCAGTACATCTCCAGGGGCAGAATATTAATTACACCAATTGCAGACAGTCATTTTAAGAGCAAGAGAAAGCTGGGAAATGGTAAACAGAGACCACTTATGAAACAACAGACGGACACGTTCAGAAAGAAAGTAAAAGTGCATTATCAGCAAATGTAAAACTCTCTACATGTTTCAAGGTTCAAGTAGCTTAAATAAGATGCTCACTCATGGGTCAGAACCTCATCCTCAACTGTCCCAAGCATCCTAATGTCTACGTGAAGATGTTGAGAGCAGAAGGTCCCCTGCTCCCAGCAGGATCTTTCCCGTAAGAACTCAGACTAATCAAATTTCCTCTGAATTCACTGGGGAGATAATGACTGACCTGAATTTATGCCCATAATCAGACATCAAAAGCTGCATTCATATAAGGACCTTCACACACAGGAAATTTAACATCAACAATAAGTGAACTCAAATATAATGCACTGCAGGATGGCAGAGTAACAAATACATGAGTAGGCTCCTCACTCCACATAAATATCTCGAAAAGCCCATGATATTTTAGCAAAATTTCCAGGCAGACTGCATCATGAATTAAGTTCTTAATATTAACAACAGGAAACCAATACACTGCCCATTTGGCTTTACACAGCACGTGTTTGGAAACCTTGATTTTGCTGTGCAGGTCTAGTGTCTGGTCCCTTAAGGGTAGGACAAGGGTAGTTTTGCCTTCTTAGTTGTTAGTTGAAGGTACACTAGGATCCCACATGACATTTCAGGCAAATATTCACTTGTAATGGAAATTAAGGTATATATTTATACATTTTCCTTTGTGCTCATGCACATTCACGTGATCATTTGTGTACCTCATACCATGGCGATCACAAAGGCAGTTTTAATGCAAATGATCTACTACAGCATTATCTCTTTAAAGCCTGAAACACAGTCTGCCATACAGTTTTTACCATGCACCTATCAATGCTTTGCATTTCTGTTTTTGAGAACCTCTGAGGTTCTCCAAACCAACCTAACCCTCTCTGAGACCAGCAACACCCAACCGTCACACACGGGGCTAATGGGGGGGTTACCCACAAAGACACCCAAGAAGAGCTCATCGGACACGCAACACTGAGCGCTGAGGTTTCCCACAAGACCCTCTCCCCTTTCTGATTTGCAAACCAAATAGGCAGTGTGCCACTGTGCTCTCTGAAGGAGGATAAACTTGCTTGGTTTGAAAGTGAAAGGGGGAGAAAGGGTTTAGTGCTACCACTGCAGAGCCCTCTGTACTGAGCCAATCTGCCCCTCGCTGAAATCAGAAGAAGGATGTGAGCACGTGGGATTGAGGGAGACAGCGAATATAAAATGTAGTCTGGAACAAGGCAGCAGAAGAAGCTGAATCACCCCTGAAGTACACAGGGAGCAATATTTGGAAGGAGACATCCCTTTGGGAGGTGATGCCTGCACGCACCAGCCACCCTGGCCGCTCGTGGCCACTGCACTCAAGGGTTGTGCTGGGATGGGAAGAAGGCATTTTTTTTTCCAGTTTGCCTCAGTCTTCCCAAGACCAGCAGTGCCTTAATTGTGCTTAGTATTCCCAGTGAAGCGCACATCGCATGCCTGCAAATTGTGCAGCTTGGCCCACACGATGTTTCTCTACTCCTGGATGACAAGGTACTTAAAGGAAAATGGAATTCTAAATTAAAAAAAACAAAACAAAAAAAAACAAAAAAAAACCAAACCGTGGAAATCACCTGGGCAGAAACCTACAGTTTAGATCAAGTAGTGGGTTGTGTTGCTGAAGCTGGACCGGAGCATCTGTGGGCTTCCCAGCAGAGGTCACTGCAGCCAGCAACAGCCACCCGCGCCTCTGCCCTTCCCTCCACAGGCAGAAATTCTCTGCTCCTTTCTTCACTTTAGAGCACAGACGAGCAATCACCTACAGCCCTGATACACAATAATTAACCCTTCATAGAATCATAGGATGTTTTGGGTTGGA